GTCGATAATGGATACATCACCTACCCCTCGTTGACTGAATAATTGTAAAACTTAATACAAACGTTTAGTATAGCTTTTTTATCTTGGACCGTACAAGATACGAAATTGACTGTATCTTGTACAATCCAAGCGCTCGGGTTTAAGAGGTTAATCGAACACACTTGAGCGAGGTTTTACTCCAGGAAAGCAAACCACTTTTTTGATTAGCTTACGCTGTATGAAATAAAACCAAAGGGGCTAGAAAAGACGTCGGGCATGTATCAACTTTCAAATGCGGTAGGAATTTGGTGCAGGGATAGAAGACCACTTGCGAGGTTGTTGTTGAAATTTAAAGTGATATTCATTCGTTAGCTCTGCCGTTCCTCCAACGAGTACTTACAGCCTTATACCTTTCACGCCCTAGTCTTTCAGTGATCGACGTCACCTCACATTCAGCATCGATGCGACCTCAGTCGCCATCGTTCCATGCATCCTATGTAGCCGAGCGTTGACTGTCGACTGCCGTCCAGCTTCTCCATTTCGAGCTTCATTCACCCGTACGCTGATCTTCCACCGATATCAACAGTTACCACTCTACGTCACTCAGGTCCCACCTCTGACTCCTTATTTTCCTCCACAATGTTTCAGTGGTGACGTCACTTGATCTCAACGTCAAGTGGCGCTCCACCACCGTTTCATCCTTGATGCAGTCGGCACCGAACGTCAAGTTGGGTGGATCTGGCTGGCTGATGCTTTGCAAGTTCCAACAGCCTCCATCAAAGCTTAATCCAGTTGCACCACTTGAAGTTGATCCCGTAGCCGTTCAAATACCACAGCTTCGTCATAATATCGGTGAGCAGCTGTTGCGTGGGACAGTAGGATACTGCCACATTACCACGCTTGATCACGTCGCGAATAAAATGGTAAAGCACATTAATGTGCTTACTGCGTGTGGTCGTTATCTCATTCTACATGTACATTGTCTTGATAGCAGACTGGTTATCCACTTGCAAACTGATCAACCTCTCCTTTGTCCAGAGGCCAATTTCCACGAGCAGTTGCTTCACCCAGACAGCGTCTTTTACCGCCATTGCAGCAGCCACGTATTCAGCCTCCATGGTGGAGAGCGCAACAGACGTTTGCTTCTTGGATGCCCAAGCAATCACGGAGCAGTTCAATTCCAGTACGGCGCCAGACACTGACTTTGCGTCCGAGGTGTCACCTGACCAGTCAGCGTCGGTAAGATGATGGCGTGCCATTTGCATCCCACACCTTGTCCATTCTTTAACCCTTTTGCGGCAAAAGGTGCTATTCTGGCACCTTTTGTCGGGTTTTCAGGAGCCGCTAAGAAAATCGCTTCAAAAGGAGCTTTATAAGCATGTTTTGCTTTGTATCCATGTTTCCACACACCGCGATTTGTAACAACAGCATTTGTATCTTCTGAGAGGAGACGGACAGTTGGACTTGCAGTCAAAAAGACTAAAATTACTGATATAGACTATTAATTAAAGACAGATAAGTTTCCCCTGCTAGTACCCTGAAGATGGTAACTTTTCAATAGTCTCATCAAGATGCTTGCATACTCGACCGTCAGCACAAGCTGGAGCTATCATGCCGATTTCTAAATTGTCGCCATGCCTCGGACCACGTTCTTGGAGGAAGAAGATAAGGCGCTAGTGCAGCTCGCTCGCACCTACACAGAGCGCGGTAGCAAAGTAGCTTGGAGTGAGGTGGCCAAGAAGATGTGACGCTGGAGACGAAGTCCCGTGCAGCTCGCTCAGAGATTGAATGCTCTAAAGCGAACATTTGGCAGGAACCTGACAAGCTTTCCGCCGTCATTTTTTACTAAGGTACAAGCTCGGCGAGGTCGTCGTAGCACGCTGGTGTTGCAGATTCGGCAGCCTGCACTCCAGCACCACAAGATCCAGAGAGCACATTGAGCTCAACAGCAAGCCCAATTTGTATGGATACACAGCTCAGCCAGTTGGCACCCATAGCTACACAAAACGTGTTGGAATCGGAGAAAGTGACGCCAAGTCAGCAAATCGAAGCCTATCCTAGTGAAGTGCATGGGGCGGTGGCGATAAAAGCAAAGGAGCGTAGCGAAGTAATGGTCTTTCCGGCATCCTTACCTGTGGCCTCTATCCAGCCTTTGGATGCAATTGGGTTGGCGCAGTCTACTACGCAGCGATCTGATTCACGAAAGAACTGTTTACTATCTCCTCACGCAGCAGCTGGTACGATGTCAGCTATTTTTCATTATGCATCAAGAAAAGATATCATTTATCCTGCGGCAGCCCCGGCGTTGAATGCTGGGGAGCTTCTTCCAGCTGCTATTAGTAGTCTTATCGCTGCTATCTCCAAAATCAAAACTATTGATGCCCAAGATGTGTTTCTTGACATCGGCTGTGGTATCGGTAACGTATTGGGGCAATTCGCGCTACAAACGGCAGTTCGAGCAAGTCTCGGAGTCGAAATTCGCCGCAAGCTCATCGGACATGGCTCAAATGCAGTTAGCAGCAATTCGTTACGGTGGCCATCACTTGCTAAAGTGAAATTGTATGGTGCTGATGTGCGCAAAATCGAAATCTCGGCGATAACATTGTTCTCGACAGCCACCATTGTCTTCGCAAATAATCTGAAGTTTGAGCCGTCCACGAACAATTACATCAACGGAGAGTTATTTTTTATGTTGAACGCGTGGGTCGTTGCGTTTACCAGTGAGGTGTGCCCTCGCCACAACAGCGCTTGTACAAAAGCTTTTTGTAGTCGTTGGGAGATAGAGGACTTGATCCAAGTACCTGCGAGCTAGACAAACCTCATCAGCGTTAACATTTATACAGAGAGATATTGATGTTTACATCGATAATATCAAAGAATTATTCTAGCTGCTCGACCCTTTTTGGTCTGTGGGGGAGGTAACGTCGAGTCGCTCTGCTTCAACTTGTATAGCTCGGACGCCTTCATAATGTTCCCCTTTACGGAGAAAAGGTTCCGAGGCAGGTAAAAGTTATGAAACTTCTCCCAGCACGTCCATCGTGCTGTTTGGCAGAAGTACGGTCGTTCTGGGGCGGTGTGAAGAAGTTGACAAAGGCATACGTTGTGCAGCGTACAGTGATCAGTCACGACAGTTGGTAAGCGGTTTTCCCAGCGACAAACCACGCATTGACGTCGTTTCTTGCTCTCAGTAAAAAGTTGCTTCGAAGAAACAGTAGTACAAACTTTTTGAGGACTATCGACAATATCGGGTGTTTCCACTGTCATACTCCATGTAGTTGCAGCACCACATAGATCGACACTATTACCAGTACGTGCGTTTCCGTACAGCATCCGGCGATCACTTGGTGCCTCCATCCATTTTCCAGAGAGTAGCTCTTCGGCCAATTGAGTCACAAAAGCGCGGTGAGGGTCTCTCTCCTTACTCATATCCACGACAAGCTTTTTCGACATGTATGCATTGACTCTAGCGACATCTACTAGTGACATTGCCAGCTTCTTGTACCATTTTTTGAAGGAATGTCCATCAGCGATGGAAAATCGCGCACGCAGCTGGTCCAGGCGGTCGACACCCTGCATGTGCTCGTTGTATTGCGATACGCATGATGGGGCTCGGTAAGGCTGCATTGCACTTCCTACTCGACGGGTTAGCTCCGTTGCTGTTGAACTGTCAGCGTTTGATATCATTTTGACAATGGCACTATCGAACCAGGAAACTGCAGTCATCTGGTGGTTCAGCGACACAGCTTGCCGAAACTTTCCTCTTGTACACTCGGTTTTCTTCAGGATGACATGGGTTGGGAAAGCATGCTATTTTTTCGAACTGTCCCTCGACCGTAAAGTCCTTTGAGCTGCAATGCAGCAAGTAGTTGCACGGACATGTAGTAGTTATCCGCGTTAATAACCCGACTGGTATGATACAGTGGACGGGCAACTTCCACTACTTGGCCACGAACGACGGCGAGTGCATCTAAATCTTGGCGCAGCTCCTCAATTTCAGCATCGGATGCAATATTATGAAGCCGATTCCGATTACTTCCCTTTCCACAGGCCCTTTCGAAAATTGGACAGCCAATCCCAGTGCTGAGAACCCACCCCAGCCTTTTAAAGCCCGAAAATGGGATTTCCCTCCTGGTTTCATGGGGTTAAACATGATAAGCCGCCTTCCGAACTTGGAACGACATGCCACGCTGGCTTCATCCAATGCAACATCTCGACCAACTTCGACGTATTTTCCGCCAGTCACTTTCATCAAATTCACAAGTGTTCGAATCCGAGCGAGTGCATCTCGCTTGCTGGTTTCATTTGACGCTTGATGCGTACTTTGAGGCTGCTGCGTAGATAATTGTGTAGGCGATGCTATCGGCATGTTGTTAGTAGCATGATCGGTATGCACTTGATGGTCCGACCTTGAAGTCGACTCAACTCCCTCTCGCTGGTATTCCGATGGGCTCTGAGGTGTAGCCACGCTCGAGCCATCTGCAGTGGCGCTCGCATCGTCATTGAGAGCGTCATTCACTGAAGCAGCAGTAGGTCCAGCCCTCAGTGAAGAAATTGGTGTTGCAACGTTAGCCGAATGTTGAGCTCGCTTTGAAATTGCTCTAAAGCAAAATGACACTCGTAACAGCTTGAATCTTGCAAGAGGCATGATATTATCGAGCCCAACACTGCAGCCACCCAATATTCTATCTTCCACTTGCTGTCCCCAATAATTAGCGTATTCACCCTTGTCCACCAGTGCCATATAAAGCAAAATACCCAGAAAAGTCATCACTTCTTGCAACGTAAAAAGAGGTCGGTGTGTGATACGGTTTTCACGTTCGTATTCACGCATCGCTTTGTTAGTTTGGTGAGCTACTTCGAATCAAAAGTAGACAGGGATGTACGCAAAAAATGCCGATGAAGGTGAGTGCGTAAACAAATGACAATATTCCGGTCGAATCCTAGTCTCCGTGCCTCCGTCATGATGCTCGTAAAGATTGGAAGGAGCTTCCATTTGTGCTTCTGGGTCAAACTTCAAGTTTTCAATTGATTGCCTCCACTTTCGTCATCGACGACGGAAAAACAAATTCTGGGTCGTAGCGGTGGAAGGACTCCTCTTCTTCGTTCTCCACAGCTTCAATGTCACTGGCATCTTCTTGAACTTCGATCTCGCTTTGATCAGCATGACAAAGAGCGGTCTATGCCGGTTTCGATGGTGACGACATTATGTTACTGTAGTTTTCAACGCCGCGCTGCACTATGCTTATGTTCAAGTACTCACTTTTCTTCTGGAACTGTGTGTCGATCCATTGGATTTCAAGCAGGGCTTTTTATTGTCGAATCGTGTTACGCGTCCAACGATATACGCGCTTCCGACATCAGAATACACGCTGTCCTTTAGCCAGACTTCTTGGACGGGTGAATACGCCACTAGTTTCTCGATGTAAGCGCGGGAAACAAGCGCGTTGTGATTTCGTGCTGCTTGGGAACGCGATCGTTTCGATCCGCCGCGTGTTGTAGACGTTCGTGTAGGATCAGGATTCGCGTCTCCATCCGCAGTAGATTTCCCCGCTGCTCCAGCGCAAGAGGATTCATCATCTGCGGTGGCGCCATCCATAAGTTCGGCAAGACTTCGCTGCCGCTTTCGTGTCTGCGTAGTGCTGTGCTTGTGAGAACCTTTTGTCTTCCCCTTACCTAGCTGCGTTTGCTGTGTAAATTCACTCTGTGTGCTTGGTATCAGCTGATGACGAGCACGTTGTTCTTCACCATGGTTACCTTGACCACCGTCGTCATGGTGATCTTGACGATGGTGTGGCAGCTCTTCTCCGGCCTGACCTAGGTCGCCACAACTTGCTGCTGTCACGTCGCCTACGACCGTAGCCTCATCAGAACTAATCAATAACGAAACAAACGATTGTGTGTCATCGCCTCGCGGGGGTGTAGACGTTCGCCGCACTTGCTGGCCGCGCGCCATGATCGCCTATTGTCGGTAGATCCAGCAGTGATTGACCGACTGTTGGTGGTATTCCTTACTGAAGATAAATTTGCATAGTGAAAACAACACATGTAACCTTCCCTATCAAAAGCCGCTTGTACGACACATTAGCATAGTGAAAAAAGTATATTTGCCCATACCAAAATTTATCGGACCGGATGACCTTATCGGACCTATGTATTGTACACAGTTTATCTCAGATAGGTACGAGGTTTAGGGGAGGGCATGCCTGATGTGAAATGACGCAAAAGGCCAAAGAGTGGTCAAACAGACTGATTTATAGACGGCAGGAAATGGCCTGAATCGCCCTCTGGGCTGAGAAAATCACTATTTTGTTTTTCTATGCATTTTTGGCATGAGAGTCATGTGCGCATGAGCTAGCAAATTTAACAATGAGGCAGAATCGCCACGATCGTCCGGATAATTTTGCATCTGTCCGGTAAATTAAGATTGACGACAGCCAGTTATCAGAGCTACTACTGCTTATTGGGTAATTATCTGCCAGTAAAAACGTGCCACTTGTAATTGCGTTAGACAACACGGATCGAATGGTTTGCAGCCTCTCACTTTCAGTCAATCCGTCGCCGACAGCCCACGTTGGCGGTCAGTCTTACTTTTTTCATCGCAACTACGCTGATCTCCCGTACGGGCTTCACGGGCTTCCAAGCCTCCAGGTCGCCTCTGACCCCCCCCCCTTCCAACGATGTAGCTCAACTGGGAGAGCGCAAGGTTCCGGCCTTGAGGATGCCTGTTCAAATCGGGCCATCGTTATTGCTTATGCTTGGGTTAGAGGCCTTGTAGCGAAGATCAAGTTTCGTGAACAGCAGAGATCAGCAAGAAAGGTGATTGCATACGTGTGTTGAGGTCGACATAGCTTGATGCTGTGAGGAAAGGTGAATGTAAATGTTTGTTCTACTTACTAACCTCCTCAAGAACGTCCTGCGTGTAGCCAGGAGACGGGTCTTGGATTGCAGCTGTCTGGAGCAGTTGACGGTGGCGCTGGATCTTGGCATTTAGCGCGCCGGCGCAGTGGACCCGCTGGAGGTGCTTGAGGACCGCGCTCGATCCGCGAGAGTTGATGCTGTGCTTGCCTTTCAAGTACGTGAGTACGGCATTCTTGGCGCGCTTCCCCAGTTCCAGAACTCGGTCGCGGTAGTCCGCAGAGGTTTGGCTGAGAGCGAAGCCGTCGTCGAGGAACAGCTTCATGTACGCGACTAGCAGCTTGGCCTTCGAGCGCTGCTGCTTCGGTGCTTCGACGTACCAGCGTGGCTCTTGCGCGTACCAGGTAAACCAAGTCGCATGAAGGTAGGTTGCTGATCCTCTACGCTGTTTTTGCTTGGGTTTGCTCACATCTGTGGCGTCTTCATCTTGAATGCTTCTTTTTCGCGCTTCAGCTACAGGATCACCGTTAAGCTTTGCCTCAAGCAGATCCATGCGGGCGTCTTGGCGCTTGGAAGTTTTGATAAGGTGTTTAATGACAGAGGCCTGGTGCTCGATGATCTTCTGTTCTTGGCTTGGTTCCATTGGCATGGATGGTGAGGTGGATGCTTCTATGTTGTCTTTACAGGAATGATGCGCTCCTGCAAGATGCGTAGACCAGGCTAAGAGGTCCGGAAGCGTACGTCCAGCCTGCGTAACACAGGTTTCGAGTCGTTGCACCGCTGGACTGTCGGGATTCAAGCCCTTTACGACGGGATAGTGCCTAACGACGCAAGCGGTTAAGACATCCAGAACCTTCCGGTTGATGTTGAAGCTTTCCGTCTCAAGTTGGTAGCAAGCTGTGAACAAGCCTCGTTGGAACTCGGCAATCGCGTCAAGCGTGTCTGCGTCAAAGCTGGACAGGTCTTGGAGAGGGACAACGTCTTCTGGTTTGTATCCACTCAATACCTTGGCAATCATGTGGTCTTCTCTACTTGTGTTGAAGATGTAGTTGAATCCTTTGTTTGTGGTGCTTAGGTTCCAAGATCCGCGATTAAAGATCCAGCGCGCGGTCATCTTCTCGCAGCCGTTGGCATGTTGGGCCCCACCACGACGGAATGAGTGCGACGTGAGAGCAGCTGACACACCGGCGGCAGGGACGACGCGATCAAGCACACGGTTGACATGTGCGTAGATTGTCGGGGCCGCAGCAGTACGAGGAGGAGGAGGAGCAGGCGTAGCAAGACTAGAGGTCGCCGGTGGTGCGTTCAGGAGTTCCACGAGCGGCACGTCAGGTGATAGTGTTGTCGGCGCTTGCTGCACTTGGTCGGGAAGGGTCCCGATGAGAGCTGGACACGGTGCTGATTGGACGGAGAGGGCGAGAGCAACAGCGAGCAAGGGGCACGTTGCGAAGTCGGCGTCGGGGAAGAGAGACAAACCTTGTTCTTCCGACGTCTTCACACGGACCAAGCGAAGGAAGAAGACACGGGCGGCATCTATAGAGATGCTCCGCTTCTTGATCATCGACAGGTCCGAAGCTCGCCCGAACAGGTACCAGAGCAGACACAGAAGAGCAGCATCTTGGTAGTCACTCTCAGAACATGCATTGACATACAAATACACAACCACTTTTTTTAAAGTCAGCCTTTGTACATGGTGGAGCCTTTGCTACGAAGCCACCACCATCTCTTTTCAGACAAAAGTTATCTAGAGTTTTTCCCATTTTAAGCAGCCGCGATTCTAGCGAAGCTCGGTGCTGAGGAAATTGCTCTAGGAGCCAAATTTTGGCTTGGCGGTAATACTGCATTGCAGTGTTTCGTGCCAGCAATTTACCCTTCTTTCCTTCACTAAACGCAAGATACATTCCAAACTTATCCATGACGCACACAAAGCTCTTGCCACTCTCATCCTCCTCAATACATTTCTTTACTTATTTTTCCTCAACATCCTCACCCTTTAAAACTTGGAAAATGCTGCGACAGCAGTTGCCTTAGCCCGCAATGTGTTGCCAGGTTGCAATTCCTCCAAACCCATCGCGAAGGTCCGATAAAGAGGAATATGAAAGTGATACGTCTACTACTTGACAACTGAATGAACATACACATATTTTAGAGTTTTATCGGACTTGATACGTCCGATCGGGTGGCTTGGATGACTCACCTAGACCTACTACATCCGATTGGTTTAAATCATGATTTAGATTAACTGTGATTGGCTGGTGATTTTTGCTGGCAGGTAATTGGCAGTATATACCCATACAAAATTCAAGTATGGTCCGATAAACTATCATATTCATCCATATCGCAACCGTTCCGACACCCTACCCCTTTCCGACGGATTCCGACAAATGGGACATCCATTGAATCCACCAATCAAATCAGCGGAGTAGCTAGGTTTAGAGAAGTAAGTTAAGTGCGAGCACACTAAGTACGCTAACTATCATAAGTACGACAACAAACCCAGTCAGCTTTCAAAAGGGAGATCACAGGCGCAAGGAAATGCTCTGTAGCGGCCTGTAGGCCGAGAAAACCCGTTTTAACGTATTTGTAGCATTATGGAGCTCAGAGCGCTGTTCACTCTAGACAGCAAAATCATGAATGAGACCGAAGTCGAGGATGAGGGGCCTCTAATAGAGTGGGTTTCATTACACTGACATCACGGCCCATATTACTGACATCTGTAGCACTGGCCACTCATTTAAATCAGGGTTATTTATAGGCCAATGATAGAGCGCGACATATTAAACCTCATCCAGGTTTTTTACTCAGCCAATAAAACGACGCCAGCTATTGCCGACAGAGCTGTTGGCGGCTCAGTCCTCATTTTTCGCCGGCCACCTCGCAGACCTCATCCCACAAGCATCGATACTATGCCGCCTACAAGCACAACTCCCGCCGGCACTGCTGGTGCAGCGCTCGGATGGTAACGAGCGGGGGGTCCGATTCCCTACTGCCGGTTTACCTATATGTGATTTGCTACTAAACTTTGCGAATCAAACTGCTAGATAGGGCGGTGCTGGTTCGTGCTGACGTTGCTGCCTAGAACGGCGTTGGTTTGTGCTAGAGAGACCGGCGATGATTCGTGCTGCCGTTGAAGGAGCTCGTGCTGTGTGTTCAACATTGTGAGGTGCAGCACCAGGTTTGTTGGTGGTGAAGAAGCAGTTCGCTGTACGAAATGCGTTGTATTGTAACTAACTGTACTAACTGTGAATGCATTTGTATTCAAGAGTGTTTAGACGTTCCCCATCACAGCGAGTATGTCTTTAGTGTCTCCTGGAGCAGGGTCAACTATTCTCCCGGTGGCAAGGAGGCGTTTGTACGCGCCTATGCGATCATCCAACGCCCCAGACTTGTGGAATGGTCGTAGCGCGCGCAGAACACTGCCAGCTCCCTTCGCATTAACGCCTTGCGACTTTAGGAACCCGAGAACAGCTTCTTCTGCTCTGCGACCGGCGTCGAGAACTTGGTCTTTGTAGTCCTCCGCTTGGATGTCTAACGCGATGCCATCTGGCAAGAAGATCTTCATGAATGCGACGACGTGGTGCGACTCGGACTTCTTTTGACGGTCAGTACTGCTCCACACAGGAGGCGTCTTAGTGTACCACTCGTACCACGTGGCGGACAGGTTCGTTGCTTGCTTTTTCCTTCGCTTAGGCTTTGGCTCTTGATCTGACGATTCTTGTTCTTGTTGTTGCTCTTCAGCTGCTGCCTTGTTTACGCAGCTGGACTTCGACTTGAGTAGCGCAGCCTCGACGATGGTCATGCGTTCTGCTAGGACGCGATTGGATGCAACTAACTCTTGAATGACAGCCAAAAGATGATTCATTGCCGGACACGTGTGCGTTGCTTCTTGGGTTTCTTCTTTGTCTTGAGCAGGTACATCGGCTTTCTCGTTCAGCGCTATAGACCACTTCAGCAAGTCCGCAAGTGGGATGTCAGCAGCAACCAGGCACTCTTCAACGCGCATGACGATGGGTGATCCAGGGGCAAGAGCCTTGAGCTGAGGATAGTGTCGGACAAGGTAAGCTGTGAGTACGCTGAGAACCTTTGTACTCACGTTTAGTCTGCGCTCTTTGAGACCTGTACAGGTGGCGAACAACAGCTCTTGTAACCGTTCAAGATGCTCGAGCGCCGTGCAGTCCAGCAAAGCCGTGTCGATCACCTTAGGAGCAGCGTCAGCACTCCAGCCGCTCAAGACGCGCGCCACCTTCCTGTCTTCCCTCGCAGTGTTGGTGATATAGGCAAAGGCCTTGTTTGTCTTCGTCATATCCCAAGCACCACGGTCGAAGATCCACTGAGCAGCAAGTCGGTCGTCGCCATTAGCGTGCTGAGCACCTCCTCGCCGAAAGGAATGAGAGCTCAGCTCCGCCTTGACCCCTGCAGGCTCGGTTACGCGCTTCAGCATCCTGTTGACGTGGCTCTGCATGCTGTCCTCGCCTCGTTTCACGCCTTTGTCCAGCGTCGGGATTGGAGCGGGTGAGTTTCTGCTAACTGTGTCTTGAGGACTTGTAGGTCGCGGGGCAACGGCAACGTGAAGTGTGTCGGGGGTCAAGGAAAGCAAGTCGTGCAGTGGAGCTCCGGCATCAAGCGTAGCACTTGTCTGTGGAGTTAGCGCTGGCAAGTGACCAAGTAGCGATGGACTAGGGGCTTCTTGTGTTGCCAGCGCTACTGCTAGCGAGTGCAGTGGACACGTCAAGAAGTCGTCCTTGTCGGGGACAAGCGTGAGGCCTTGTTCTTCGGAAGTCTTTACGCGGAGCAAACGCAGATAAAACACGCCGTCAGATGACACCGACACATGTTGCTTCTGGACGTAGCAGAGGTCTGATGATCGACCAAAGCAGTGCCACATTAAGCACGCCATGGCAGCGTCTTGGTAGTCTGCGTTGACTCGTGCATTGCTGTAAACGTAACGTACTAAAGCCTTTAAATCCTCCTTAGTACAAGGAGGAGCTTTGTTAGTTAACCCTCCATTTTCACGTTTTAAGCAGTGTTTATCTAACGTCTTTCCTTGCTTTAACAATATCAATTCAGTAACTACACGCAAGTGAGGATACACATCAAATAACCATAGCTTTACGTTTCTATAGTATGAGGACGCAGTGTTCCTTGCAAGTTTACCTTTCTTACCTTCGTTAGTGGCCAAATAGAAACCAAATCGGTCCATTGTTGCCGCTAAGCGTTTGCCAGAGGTGTCGAGAAGAATGCTAGCTTGGACAAATTCCAAACTAACATGCTCCTCCTCCAGCATCCGCTTGAATGCTGCAATCGCAGTTGAACGCGCCTTTTGCGTGTTCGTAGGAACGAAGGCCGAGAGGCTCATGCTGAGCTGTCTCTTCTGTTTTTGAAAAGTAATTAGTGGCTCTCATCTATTGAACTCCTACATTAGGGATATTCCTGCTTCAGCCTAGATGTCCGAATTGATAGAATATTTGCCAAATATTTTTTTAATTTGATTATTGTATTCGTATATTCATATTTCTGCCTTGACTTCCGACAAATATATGTCGGAAAGTGTCGGAGTTCAACCCCTACCCCTAACACATATTATTGGCTAAAAGCAGCGAAATAAGAAAGGTGATTGGCTAATGTGCTTATTAAATCCACTCTGGTCGTAACTATAAAATTTATCTGTCGGAAAGATCACTATATTCATCCATATGAGATTAGAAGCTGCTTTATTCAAGCCTGCGCGAAGGACGCTTACTTCTGACACGATACTCGCTAACGATGCGATACTTCTGTCGCTATGCGATGTTTTTGAGTAGAACTTGGGGCAACTGAACAATACACTTTGTATATATATAATCGGATAGGATGTAGTGGTGTGGAGTGTTGCTGGACGGAAAACCCGAGCTTACTAATATTCATTCGGATAAGACTGGCGGTGTCATATTCAGGTTAGTTCATAAAGAGCATGTTGTTCTGGGATGGCCGTTCTGGCTGTACGACGGCACTGTCGCTGACGGGAGGGGGCGGTTCAGGGACGGCGACGCTGTAGATGTTTCTTAGGGCCACGGAAACACCAGGGCAAACCTCCCTCCGTCTACGTCGATGTCGTGGGGGTAGCTGAAATCGAAGTAAAAGTCTGCGTAGTTATAGACGTGCTGCTGGTTAATGGAGTTTTATTGGTGCTGTCGGACGAAGCAGTCGCGGTTACCGACTTGTAGTCACAATGGTCCTTCGGGGCGGTAGTGGTAGCGGCCGCAGTCGTGTTGTCAGGGTATTCAGTCGCTGACTCGGTAGCCGACTGTGCATAGTGTTTGTGCTGGCATTAATCGGCCGGAACTGACGGTGACAGTCAATTGAGACAACTGTGCATCTTGGTATCGTTCGGCGTGCAAGTTGGCGTCGGAGCACTGTTCACTCTTGCAGAGGAGGGTGGCGTAGGAGCTGGAGGTGGACTTGATCGAGCTTGTGCTAGGTGCGATGCTCATGACCACATTGCAGCAGGACTTGCCTGTGAGCTTCTTGTAGGTCTCGCGAGACGAGGAAATGTGTTATCGGGTAGGTTGACCCTGACGTCGTACCAGGTGTGCTAACCCGATACGTAGAGATCAGCGAGAGTGGCCTTGTCGCCCATTTCGTCACGTTGGGTAACCGCAGGACAGATCTCGAGACGTGGAGGCTCCACGCTCCACTGGAGCTGCCGTCCGTGATGGCATCAGTCTTGCTGCTACCGTACAGGCCGATTCATTTGGACGTTGGTTGTGCTAGGTGGGGATACTGATCGGCTCGAGTGTGATGATGGGCGCTGGCCGTATTTGGACGGATTTGCCAAATTTCAGATCTTGTCAGTTAGTCTAACCAATCAGAGTATGAGAGGGAAATTCTAGCCTATCAGGAATCTGTATGAAAAGGGGCTAAAAGAGGTGGCAAGAGACACATCACCCTTTAGCTCGAGAAGACAAAGTTAGAAACAAAAAGGGTCATTTTGGGACCTTTTGTTTCTGAATGACTGATTTGTGTATGGCATACAGGCTCATGTAGCTCGCGAAAGGGTTAAGAACAGTCCAGAAGGTGATGTGCCCCGTAAGTAGCGCAGGATTCGCCTCACACCTTGCCAATGACTCTCCCGTGGACGAGCGACGAATCTCTCCAGGTAATTAACTGCAGCTGTGATGTCCGGTCGAGTGCAGTTAGATAACCACAGCAGCGAGCCAATCGCGCTACGCATGAGACTGATCTGCTGCATTGGTTGTCTGGCATCCATTGGGGTGCTAACTGTACGGCATTTAGACATCTTCAAATCGACTAAAAGTATCTCGATAGTGTCGGGTGGAAGACAAATCCATCTTAAGTGTGCTCGATGCAAATCCCAACACCTTCGCTGCATCGCCCATGTTCTTAATATCGAATATCTTCCCCAATTGGAACATGACCAAGTCGCTATCTGCATCATTTTCACTGACAATGATAACATCGTCGACGTACAGTCCAAGTACGGGCAGATTTCCTTTTCGTCGGCGAGTGTACAGGCATGGATCGAGTTTGCTTCGTGCGAAACCGATCAATAGTAAGAACGCATTGATCTTGTTGTTCCACGGTAAGCCACTCTGCTTCAATCCGTATAACCCTTTCTTTAGTAGCAATGCCGTGTCGTTCGAGCATGGAGTGCCTTTCGGAGGCTTCATAAGGATTGGTCGATCCAGGTCTGCTTTGACATAGGCGTTTGGTACATCGCCCTGCCTGATTCGCCGACTCCACTGAGCTGCCAACAGCGCTCGAAAACGCACGCTTGTGGTCTTCACCATTGGTGAGTAAGTTTTTTGAAGTCAATACCAAAACGTTGAGAGAAACCACGAGCCACCAGCCGAGCCTTGAACCGCTCCAGCTCACCTCGGGAGTTGAATTTAATCTTTAAAACCCACTTCAATGAGACCAAATTTGCTCCAGCGGGTGCTTTTACCAACTCCCAGGTACCATTTGCCCGGAGATCCTTCCTTCCATTTTGGCCACTCTGGTGTTTGTCGCGCTTCATCCATATTGCACGGAGTAGTCATTGCTGTCATTGCTTCTGAAAGGATTAGGCATGCGGATCCGGTCACCCCCTCAATTAAGTCTTGTGGTAGTGAGATACTACCATGTTCCTTGCTCTTTTTCCGTGATCTGAAAACACGGCGAAGCGTCCCAGCGCTGATAGGGCATCCGTGGTATTCGTCCTTGCCGTTACCACTCGTGTAAGCGGGGCGGCATACTCGTATAGCACTCTTCCGCGAGCGCGTTTTCGCTTGGACCGGTACTTTAGGTGTATCGTCAGTCTCTGGGGCGGTTTGCTGCGGCTCTGAGGTTTCTGGAGCAACTTCAGACTCATTTGACGATGGGTTGGTTTCACCGTGCAGTTCATCTAGCGCATCTTGAGTCTCCTTTTTGTGAATGTCGGGCTTGTCGATATTCTGCACATCTGCGCTTGTCACGATCTTCCTCGTACGAGGTAAGAGCATTCGATAACCCTTCTGATCTTCGTTGATGCCGATGATTACAGCTTTTTCGGCATGACCCTTGACTGACGCGGCCTTCTTGTGAGCGATGTGTGTTGTGCAGTACAACGTGTATTTGACTGCGTCTCCCCAATAACGGTCTGGAAGATCTACAGCTCACAGCATCGCACGTCCGGAGTTCATGAGCGTCCTGTGCGTCCGTACGACTTTGCCATTTGATGCCGAACGGTCAGGTAGCGTTAACTGCGTTTTGAGGCCGTCTCGCTTGCAAAACGCCCTGATTTCATGGCTCAGGAATTCTCCACCGCCGTCAGACCTGATAACTTTTACATGTTGATTTCGCTGCCGTTCGAACTCGGTTATAAATTCCATAAGTTTCTTGGCAGCTTCACCTTTTGTCTGCAGCAAATACACGCGATTAAAACTCGACGCATAGTCCACGATGGTCAGCATGTGTTTGTTGCTGTTCCGTTAATTCAACGGGTACGCTAAGTACGTTGGAGACTGAGAGAGAGAAGATGCTACGCGGTGAGCTTTACAACCCCATGCATCCGGGTCTACTCAAGGAGCGACAAGAGACCCGCAAGTTGATCAACAAGTACAACAAGCTCGACAGCGCTGAGAGCTCCGAGGCCCAGGAGATTCTCACCAAGATGTTAGGCGCCAAAGGTCGCGACTGTGTCATCGAGATGCCGTTTCGCTGCGACTGTGGATCAAACACGCGACTGGGGGACAATGTGTATATGAACTCCAACTGTATCCTTCTCGATGAAGGTGAGATCACAATTGGCAGCCGGGTTATGCTTGCTCCTAACGTGCAGCTTTACACGGCTACACACCCGTTGGAACCGAAGATACGAGCTACTGGGTACGAGCGGACCAAGCCAATCACAATTGGAGATGATGTTTGGATCGGAGGCAGCGTGGTGGTTGTGCCTGGAGTAATGATCGACCGTGGGGCTGTGATTGGAGCTGGCAGTGTCGTGACCAAGAACGTGCCTCCTATGTGCGTGTATGCTGGCAACCCGGCGAAGTTCATCAAGAAGATCGAGATGGAGTAGAGCTGCTGGTGGTAGTGAACGTCCGACCTACGTCGAAAAATGATGATCTGTTGAGGTCAAGATTCTATTTGATATGATCGTTCATTGTAAGTTGTTTGCACATGTACACATGCGCAACTTTCAGAGAGAACATTGGAGCTTCCGCGGTTAGGCTGCCTATGTGAAGTCCACAATCTCACTGTAGGCAAATCTACAGAGCTCGTAGACTAGTTAATCACAATTGTCGAGGAAGTTTACAGTTGGTGGGCACAATTTACAACAGCAAACTAGGTTTTGTGCTAATAGAACATCGTGGGCGTCTACAGTACATGCACACTTGTAGAACTCTGCGAAATTTTAGATAACAGACTAGACTTACAGTTAATTTCTTTAAATCTAGCTAAACTAAGGGTGTGCAGAAATCAAAATGTAAATGCAAAATAATTGGTGCGGGGGGGGGGGGGATTTCATTTATTTAACCCCTTGGTTCCCGGCGAAGTGTATCGAAAACGAGATCGTAGCTTACGACATGTCCATGTCACTACTTGTTTGTATGTGGCATATGTTCGACGTGCGTATAGGTGTATAAGTTTTTGACAGGTTGCTCTCTCAGAAGTCGTAAGTTATACTACTTAGTAGCTAGCAGAAAACACTGTATGTCGTAAGTTGCCCCACATTAGAAAGTACAGCGGGAAGATCTGCCACATATCGGGAAAAAAGTGGTGCAAAGAGCTGTTTTATAAATCCAGATCAGTAGAATAGACAGAACAAAAAGTACAGATGCTCAAGGAAATGTGTATTACGACATGACAAGCGCCCACACTCTTTTGATGTCACGCTGGCAAGCCTACTCTTGTTCACTCTCATGTTCATCACCGCCGTCTTCCTCATCTTCACGAAGTCGCAACTCTCGACGGGTCTTCTTGTGCACACCTGCCTTCTTCCCCGGGCGTCGCAAGACAATTCTCTTTCCCAGTGTTGCAGGAATGTTTTGGCCGCAGTCGAAGTCGTCGTGCCAGATCTCAAAGCACGTTTTAGCTACACCCTTGTACTGACGTCGTATCTTGCTGCACAGCCAGCACTTTGCATCGTCAATACAACAGCGTTCGCAAAAGTAAGTTGTAGCAAACGACTTCTTCTTTCGATCCGTGCGCAACAGGGCACACACCTTGCAAGATTGCTGGCGACGCTTCTGAATGCCCGTAACGGTCACCCAGTCGTCGGCCTGTTCGACAGCATGTGTCAGACGTAGTTGGGGGCGCTTCCGCTTCTGGCTGCTAGGTGGCGGTGCTGCAACAATACCAGCGAAGTTCTCCACTTTCAGCTGCAGTAATTGGTTTTGCAGGACTCCGAACCATTCTCCTCGCTTCATCACCGGCGTTCCAGCGATACGTGCAGCCTCTTCGTGCGAAATAAACGCATTTACAAGTGCCAAATCCACGAAGCCTAAAAAAGGCTTTTGTAGTTTTCTTGAACTTCGTAGACTTCTGCAAAGAGTACTTTTGTAGGCGGAGTTGATCATGGACATCAACTCCGCCCATCCAACGTTGATAGTCGGTTACAGCCGCCGGGCAGGGCACGGTAATTGTACCAACGCGCTTGATGTTTCGTGTAATAGTCGTCTCTGTCATTGCCGAGTCTGTGCACAGGTAATGCACAGGTTTCCGGTCTCACCAGTGAAATGCAGCCATATTTGGAATGGCGACAGAACGAGAGAACGTGAACATGCCTCGGGGAACGCTTGCTGGACGTGACTTGCGTTTCTCTTTGACATTTGCATCATATCCAAGCCGGTTGGTCATTATCGTGCCTATCACGTGCACCTGCATGCCCAGTAGCTCGATAGCAAGTAGAATTGACGAATAGAAGCGGTCGATAACTACTGCGTGCCATGGGAGCCGGGTGTTGGGGCCAAGAACTGTCTTCAAATTTCTAACGACTGCAGCCGCACCGGTCTTATGGTCAAATGTTGAATGCTCTCCATCTCTTCTTTTGCCCGCATACAGCTCAAATCTAGAAACATACGACATAATTGGTGAGAAACCAATCTAATGTCATAACTTACGACGTAAGAAGAAAAAAACAAACCTGTGACAGTACGCGGTCCTTGAATCACACACCATAAACATTTTCGAGCCATACCGATGAGGCTTTTCGGGCATGAACATTCTAGTCGAGTTTCTTTTAGAAGTAGAAGGCAGAACACCCTCGTCAAAAGCGAACACTGCCGGGAGGGTCCACGCAATCAAGAAACGATTCTGCATTGGCTCGACTACCATTCACAACTTCCAGAGCCTGTCTCGCGTACACTCCGCCTCGTTGTCCACAAAGTGCAAGTCGCGCAACATGTCTTGACATCGATTACGGCCCACGAACCTTCCAAAATTACCTGCAGGAACGGCCCCGTCCTTCACCATCGACCAGTGAGCGGCAAAACGTCGCTTTTGCGGGCAGAGCATGCGCGCAATCAGGAGACCTATCATGTGTAAGATCTCGTGCGTCTCGTATCCCGGCTTTGCCTTCAAACGCCGACTAATCTGCTTAACCGTCTCCTTTCTCCGATCGTGTTGCTTTGCATGAATTCTTTCTGCACGTTTGGTGACTTGCTGAAGACCATACCGATTCGTCTCTGCAGCTATCTTGGCCCATAGCGACTTGGGCATAAAGTAAAAGAATGTAAGTAGTGGAGAGTGACAAACGTTTAGTAG